TTTACACAGGAGATAATGGGCTTTACAGTGAACTCCCAATCAGAAAAAGCAATTTTCTCTTTATACTTTAGCTTAGAGTGGGAGTACTTCACAATTTTATTCCAATAGCTTTTTTTAAGTCTTTTTGTTCCTGTAGCTAAAAAGCAGCAATAGCTCTTGTTGGTCCATAAAAAGATGACATTATGTAAATAGTTAAATAGATCCAAAATGGCTCGAAATATTTCAATTTTAATTTGAAATGCTTACATTTCTACACAGAGTCCACAACCTTCATTTCAAGACTGATGTTAAATTCTTTTTCTTTTAACTCCTGGTTTTTGTAACATCTGGGCTGATGAACAAGACAAGTTTTCAGAGCCTGAAAGCTTGCACCCTTCTGTGCTATTTTGGATAATCCTAATAACATTACTACCATCATTGATAGAATTCTTTTGAATCTCTTGCTTAATGCACACTTATCCGGCTGTTTTATACACATGCATTTTTGTGCATCAACCCCTGAAAAGTAGAAAACAGAAATCAAAAAGATATTGCTGTCATTGGAGATAGTAACTGACTTCATTACAAATACAGGCATCAGAAGCAATCTCTTTCCAAATGTCTTAAATGAGAAGGTCAGTGTATGGTGTCCAGTTGCAAGGACTCAAGACCTTTCTAGTCCCTCCAAAATATAACAGGAAGGCAGGTACTGCATTAAAAATAGGTTTCACAATCATGCTCCAGCAAAAACCAAGAAAGGTATCTCCCCTTTCATAAATACAAATTTAAGAAGTATTTGAGATGGCAATTAAACTAATTCTGTTTTTACACACACACTCACTCACTCACTCACTCACTCACTCACTCACTCACTCCAAGTTTAGTTCCTTCCTTATACTATTCCTGCTCGTTTTGGCAGTCCATCCAGCCATTGATTGAGAGATGTTGAAGGTCTCATATCAGTGCAACTGTAGAAAAGCTGAAGAAGCTATCAGCCCCAGAACAACAGGTGAATGCAGTAATTCACAGGAAGAACAATTTTGAAGAACAATTTACTCCTGAAGTCAAAATGTATTTTCTCTTTGATTCAGAGAAGTTCTGCTGCTCCCAATAGCAGCATTACAATATTTGGAATGGAATAGAATAGCACTAGCACTGTCTTAGACTGCTATACCACTTTACGGTGCTTTACAGCCCTCTCTAAGCAGAGTCAGCCTATTGCCCCCAACAATTTGGGTTCTCATTTTACCCACCTCAGAAGGATGGAAGGCTGAATCAACCTTGAGCCTGGTGAGATTCGATCTGCCAAATTGCAGGCAGCCAGCAAGTAGCAGAAATAGCCTGCATTAATGCACTCTAATCACCACCATGACTGAATAGAACAGAATAGAATAGAATATGTATGGAAGGGACCTTGGAGGTCTTCTAGTTCAGCCCCCTGCTCAACCTATGCCATGTCAGACAAGTGACTGTCCAGTCTCTTCTTAAAAACCTCCAGTGATGGAGCACCAATGGAGGCAAGCTGTTCCACTGGTTAATTGGCCTTACTGTTAGAAAGTTTCTCCTTAATTCCAGGTTGTTTTCTCTCTTTGATTAGTTTCCAACCATAATTTCCAACCCTGCCCTCTGGGGCCTTGGAAAATAATTTGACCCTCTCTTCTTTGTGGCAGCCTCTCAAATACTGAAATACTGCTATCATGTCACCCCTAATTCTTTTTTTCTTTAGACTGGCCAGACCCAGATTTGAATTTCTTCTATCCAAGGAATCAAAAATTTAAACCATTCATTTGAATAATGCATGTATTGCTATTGCCACACAGAGCCAAAGGTTTAACTAGCTTACTATACTCTATGCTTTTAAAATGTATGGCTAAATAAGCTTTAAATGAACCTCCTAATATTGTATCAGCTTCTAGTACTATTAAAATATTAGTGCCATAGTAAAAACGATGAAAGCAGAGGCTAACGCTCTCTAGAAAAAGCAGAGCTATCATCATATTCTCCCCCAACATTCTCGTAATTGAAACAGGTGGGCAAATTATGATTTCTTATGGCTCTACTTTATTTCTCTTGCTTTTCACAATAAAAAGAAATAAGTTAAATAAAAATTATGCAGAAAAATATAGATTCACATAAATGTATTATTGCAGATTTTAGTCTAGCTAGGTTCAATATAAAAATACTGTATACATTTTCGGCCCCTAATATTCACAAGAATTACCACTCTGAAATAAGAAAGCTGTGCATAATTAATCTCACTTCTACAAGGGATCCTTCCAAGAACAGGAAGGAATCTTATCAAGTGAAAGTAGTTTTGTACCTACACTGATTTTGGAAGATCAACAGTTCAATATGAACTTAAAGCGTAAAAAGCCTTCTACTATTAGCAAATAAAATACTTTGCAGAAGTCATTTCTTCCTTAACTGATTTTTGCATTGAAAGTTGGAAACCATGGGAAAGCTTGGGCTATTTAACATCCTGATCTAAGGAAATCTGGAAATTAAAGTAGTATGATTGCACAATAAAATATTTGTCAGCATTTTCTGAGTAGATAGGTAAATAGTAGGTAAATATTGATTTTTTTTAAAGAAAAAAATTCAAGACCATACTAGAGCATTGTCAAATTTGGAGACAATAAATTCTGGAAATGACTGATCGACAGCTGCCACAGCTCAAGAAGATAACAGCTATTTTTCCTATATTCTTTCTCTTATGGCACAAAGCCAAAGTAGCTTTGTGAGCTAGCACTTAGCATAGAAAACATGCTACGTGCTATTATTCGGAACATTGCTTATTTACTACATCAAAAAGGCTGTCTTGTCTGACCTTGCTTGCTCTTTAAGGTGAACACCTCCCCAGACAACTAAGATTTTGCTGCACGTTACTTCCACTGCACCAATACTTCCTAAACTCAGCCGAGCTTCTGAGTCAGGACTACAATCTGTTGCTTCAGATTCTGCAACACTTTAAAAACAGATTGCACAATTCACACCTTCTACTGTGTCAGCTTCTTTCCAATGATGATGCCCTGTCAAACCAAATTCATTTCTCTTACCTGTCTTCCATTCTGAGGGCTTCTCCTTGTGCCTCCTCCTCCTCAGCATATTCCCGCAGGCACAGGGTCCACTTGTGCCTCCCAATGCCTGCAAAGCTTATTTCCTTTCCAGATTTAAATCCTGATCATATTCTCCTTCAGCTTATTGGTATTACCCATGATACATATATCTTAGTCTGTCCCTACCTACCTGCATATGGAGGCCATAGTAAAATAAGGCAAAGGTAAAGGTTCCCTCACACATATGTGCTAGTAGTTCTCAACTCTAGGGAGTGGTGCTCATCTCAGTTTCAAAGCCCAGAGCCAGCACTGTCCAGATGTCTCCGTGGTCATGTGGCTGGCATGACTAAACGCCAAAGGTGCACAGAACACTGTTTCCTTCCCACTAAAGGTTGTCCCTATTTTTCTGCTTGCATTTTTATATTCTTTTGAACAGCTAGGTTGGCAGAAGCTGGGACAAGTAACGGGAGCTCACTCCGTTATGCGGCGCTAGGGACCTTTCTGCTGACCTTTCTGATCCACAAACCATAAGTCTCAGCCACTGAGCCACCGCGTCCCACATAAAATACATTTTGAAATTAAGAGCCTTGACTTCACTCTGGATATCCAAATAGGACAGAACCAACAGACAACCAAATGGTCATTCAGAAACAAAATGTTTCCATCAAATTGATTCTGACATATTCATTTGTCTCGGATAGTGCTTTGAAACTTGGACCAATTAGCTGCAACAATTTAAAGCATATTGTATGAACAGCATATAGTCCTATTTTTCTGTACAGAGAAGTGTGGCAGTCCAATAAACTGGCCACTGGAAAAAAAAATCTGATCCTCACTTTAATTGCTAGCTTAATATTGTCCCATCAGTATATGGCATTAATACAATCACTATACATTTAATAGCCAAAACTATTTCCCTGTTTTATAAGCATGCTGAGTGCATGTGATATTTGTATTCAGTATTTTGAATATCTTTAAGCAATGGCTTAAGAAAGCCTTTAGCCCACTGTCCAGCAATGTCTAAGCAAAAAGAAAAGAGGTAAACCTCAAAGCTTTTATCTGGAGAATGGGGGAAAAAAAACTATGTTCATCCTAATCAAAGTTAGAATAGTAGGTCCACAGGGTTTAATGCTTATCCTTGCTCCATTAAGAATCGCCTAACTCTTTCACATACAATATGGGCTTTTAAAAATAAATAGATGATAGATAGATAGATAGATAGATAGATAGATAGATAGATAGATAGATAGATAGATATAGATAAGATAGATAGATGATAGATAGATATCCGTATTTTTTGGAGTATAAGATGCACCGGAGTGTAAGACGCACCAAGGTTTTGAAGGCGAATTTTTTAAAAATGGCCACTTTTTGCAAAAATGGGCCCATCCCCCAGCCAAGAAAGGCATGAATAGCCTTTAGGGGGCTTGCAAGGTGCTTCTGGGCGTGCCCCCCCAAAGGAGCAGAAAATGGGCCATTTTTCACAAAAAACGGGCCTGTTTTTGTAAAAAGAAATTTGCATGCATAGCCTTTAGGCGGCTTATAGTGTACTCCTAGGGGCTGGGGGGAGGCAAAATTGAGCAAAAACCAGCCCTTTGTTCACTCATTTCTCCCTCCCCAGCCCCCAGGAGCTCTCAGAAAATCTTCTACAGGCTCTGCATGGCCATTTTGGTGAAGGGAGTGGGGTTTCGGAAGGCAAAAAAATGCTGTATTCAGTGTATAAGATGCACCCAGATTTTCAGCCTCTTTTTTGAGGGGAAAATGTGCATCTTATAATCCGAAAAATATGGTAGGTAGGTAGCTAGAAAGAAAGAAAGGAAGAATGAATAAATAAATCACTTCAGCTGATATGCTGATTCAGTAAAGTGGGATACAAACTATAGTCAAGAGTTTCAGAGTGTCATATACATCCAAACTTCCTTTGTCTTTTGAGAACTTAAGACACAAACGTTGAAATAGAGGCGATTTCATTTACTTTACAGGTTCCATTTCTTTATTCAACTCAATAAACATTTAGTTACAAGTTTCACAAAATCAAATTTTATAAGATTGGGAGCTGACAACCAGAGAATAGAGGCTGCACCTCCTTGGTTTGTCCACACTTTACTTGATCTCTTGCACTTCACACATAACCCAAGTTCCAGGGAAGGCAGTCTGATCAAGAGCAGAGGCAACTAAAGGTTGTTTTCCAACTACTTGACACTAATAGCAGATCAATCGTTAATGTGGCTGCTGTTTGAGATGGGTAAGTAGAAATGAGGTATGGGGATGAACAAAAACTCCTGAAACTCCCCAAAGCATCCAAATAGAAAATTGGGGCCCTTGTGTAGGAGATAGAAAGGAGTTAGAAGAAAACAGTAATTTATATGTTACTCATTTATAGACAAAAGTCCCTCACATTCTCCTTGGTCAACTGTTCTATGCAAGAAATATAACTATGCAGAGTTAGTCAATTTAAATCTTGGGAGGGCAGGAAGCTAGAATTCATCTTGCAGAAGATCCAATTGTTGTTTTGTAGGGGCTTCACCATCAGAGTTTCACTGTCTACCTAAGCAAAAGGATGGGAAGAAAGAAAAGAAACAACAGAAGTCAGAAAGGACACAGAAGGCAGAGTCAATGAGCAATGGGAAACACATGCCCTTCTTGGAATTCAAATATTGGATTTTTAAAATCAAAATAAATGTGTTGCACTTAGAAAAACTGAAATGAAGTTTGTGGTATACAGAAAGAAAACTAATACTTTACTTCTTCCCACTGATTTTCTTTATGGAGAGATTTATTTATTTATTTTTAAATGGAACAAGTAATCTTTCAGATACAGCCTGAAGTATAATTCACAGACTTACCACCTTTATGAGAAATAGATCTTATTCTTTATTGAACATAGTTTTTCGAGTAATAGTTATAATTTTGTACCGCCAAAAAGAAATATGTTTTTATCCAATTCAATCTGAGTAAACAATGTTTGCACCTGGGATACCTAGCTCCTATTCAGAATATAAATTATTGCAGTAACAATTTACAACATTTTTGTATACGCCATTATAAGTATCAGAATCATTGTACTTCCAAGTATAGAATCTGGTCACAGAAAAGCCTCAGCATTTAAACAAAATTAAAATTATAAGGCTATTTAAAAGAAAGAAGTCATTCCAAATCACTATCATCATTTCTTAAAATGTGACCTGAGACCCCCTGGGGATCCCCTAAGACCTTGTCAAGGATCTGAAAATCAGAATTATTTGCTAAATATTGAAGCTATTTGCAAACATCTAAAGCAACTCTTCTCAATATTTTTATTTGTTAAAAATAGGGTTTTTTTTTTTTTAAAAGAAATAATTTTATCCAGGTTTAATATCATGCTTACATAATTCAATAAATATTCCTCAAATAAATCAATTTTCATTTTTAATATGGTAATCAATAAATATAAGCTCATTCATGCTTTTTTGGAAGTCTACCAGATCTTAATATTTCCTCATGCTCTGCAAGCAGCAACTTTGTCTTCCAGCTTATCAATGTACATGTTGCTGTACCAGTTTACCATTTTACTTTTGTGCCATAAAGATTAAAAAACAAACTCTGCTGTAAAATAAACCACTGACTCAACTCATGTTGAAAAAGGTGGTTTGGCTCACAAGGTCCCATACTCTCTTATCTCAGAAGCTTGAAGGCACGCACAGTGCAAGCGAGGAACAACAATTAAGACTTACAAGAGCATGAATGTAGTTTTGGGGGTGACTTCACTGCACCCCCCCTTAAATCTGCTGTGGATTCACCAGTCGTACCGACGCGACTGTCTGCTTGGAGAATCCTCAGGTCCCTGAATAGCAAGACGACCCCCCTCAATTCTTCGACCAGTATTTCCATCATGACGTCGATAATCCAGCCCCCTCTGTGTCCGGAAGCGGGAAGTCTCTCGCCTCCATTCATCATCAAATGCAGCTGCATCATCTGAAAATTAAAACAGGACAGGCAGCAACTGAGTGTGGTCATGCTGTGCAGTCTGCCGCAGGAAAAGGAGGTGATGGCAAGGAACACTCACTCTCATCCAGATTGATGTAGTCTTGCCTCTCCTCCTGGTCCCCTGTGCGATGGTTGCGTGAGCGCTGCATAATGTGTGCACGGTCTCTGATGTGGTGGCCAATTGACATTTGCTCCAGTCCACTGTTGGAATCTCGCACCGTCCGCCGTGTCTCCCGGATCTGAGGGTAGCAGAACAAGTCATAATTAGAACAGTGTAAAATCCTGGTAGCCTCCTTCAAGTTCCCCTTGAAATTCTTAAATTTTGCCTCAGCAGGTACCAACTTGTTTCAAATGATCAAATAGAGTACCCTTGGTTATCACTGTTAATTGTCACACAAAAGGGTTTGTCCCATACCTGAAAACAAATCTTATCTCTTGCTTTTTCTTAAGTTTCTACTCATGCAGATGAATACCCAGGAAATTAACCAATCTTGGTGCTTCTTTAAACATTTTGTCAAAAGAAACAGATAATTTCTTACCCCCCCAGGTGCAGAACGTGTCTCTGAGGTCTCCTGATACACTTTAGGGCCCTCACCCAAATTTGAGTAAGATATGACGGTGGAAGAAGTAAATGTCTGGCAATTGGTACTACTTGTCATGTGCTCCTAAAGTAAAATAAAAAATAAAATAAGAAAAATTGCACTGAATCTTTCCACTATAAAATTTGAATAAACTTTCTGAAGAAGAGCAGCATTAGGTCTCAATGGCTCTCCTAAAGCTCACTTCAAAAAATTGCCTGATCAAATATAATTTGGATGAAAGCTATTCAGTTCATGTGATTTCACGTTAATTCATAATTTTCTTCTTCTGTAATACTACAAAGTACAATTTTGCAACAGTTTTGGAAAAGGCTCTTATGCAGCTCTGATTCTGTATCAAAAATCAAACATCTGCAAGCTTAGTTGTCCAGTTCTCTTCCTGATGATTTCTTGATAATTCTCAAGCAAGATTTGATTTATCTCTCTATCTCTACAGTATTTTTCAAGAAAAAATGTGGAAAATAACCAAATATGGAGATGGGAAAAAGAGATTCTGTTTCTCCCCACATGAAGAGTACATAAATTAGTAAGGCTGTATATCTCCTGTGCTAGATGTGATGAAGAGTTTTATTCATTTTAAATCCTCTATTAATTCATTCAAATTCTGCACTAAGAAAACTCCCTCATTTTAGCTGAGGCATGTAGCTATTCTACAAATCTTATTTTGAAATATTGATAGTGTTGGATAATTTGACTTGGTTTCTTTCTTTGAACTCATGGGGAATTTGATACATACATATATATAACCCTGAATATTTGCCTCTCCATATTGGGAATAGTTTGGAAAAAAAGCACACATTCTGCGACAGTAACACCACAGTAATCATTATTCTATTCTCTACATACCGTGGCACTCTGGAATACGTGTAATTAAAACAAACAATAATTGAAGCTCAGCTGATTAAAACTGTGCTTTTGCATTGTTATCATCAAGTTGATAACACAATCATGTTATAATATACCCATGAAGCCAGAGTTTTTCCAGTTTCTCTGTTCATTTAAAGGGATTTTTTACACTGCCTATAATATCAGCTAGAACAATATTGGAAAAGAGATGCAGACAAAATGAGCTCACCATGTTCCCAATCATGTCATTCATCATTCCAAACATGTCCATAAAGCCACCTGCCTGAAAGAGAGAAAAAGAGATTTGTGGAGAGTGACCAGACAGGGAAGCCACACAGTGAGAATAGGAGCTGTTGCCATTTCTACAATTGTTCATAAGTACATTCTATACCCTTAATGATATGAATGCTCCAAACTCAAGGGCACAGATTCTGAAAACTCTTCCTAGCTTACTAAACATACCTGTAGCAATATTTTTTATAAAGAATTCAAGGAGGCCATGCACATGCCATGCATTGTTATGGTCACTATCATGCGGTATTTAGCAGATTGCAGATAGGAAGGAAAAGATAATTCCGAATTCTAGAGAAATTCAGATACATATTCACCAGAAAGTTATCTGTTTATGATTAACACTGTTCATGGTGTCTTCCATTTTCAAATCACATATAATCTACTCCGAGTTAAAAAAACAACAACCCAGATATAAGGTGTTACCTCTATAAATATCTGTAGCAGTTTTTAAAAAAAAATTAAGACAACTACTATGCCATGCATACTATAGCCAAACCATCAGGAAGCTCAATGAGCCCAGAAAGAGATGGGCCATGAAAGAAGGTGGAGCAAAATGGCAGCAGCAAAGAAGAGCCCCTTTATAGAGTGTAATTGGAAAAGCAACTGGAGAAGAGAGATTATTGAAATTGATAGGGGTTCTACAAAAGCATTTGCTGGGAATGACACCATTCAAGAGGTGTTAAGGGTCGAGGTGGTGCCTGCATCACACAAACCTTGGAAGTGAGGGCAGGAATGTAGCTTTAACGTTTGACTTCCTGAATTTCAGGCAGCATTCATAATAACCAGCTCTAGAAAGGATCATGGCAACAATTTTTCAAGAGACCATGGCACTGACCGTATATACTACGCCATAGGTTACTAGATATGAATGCCCTTTAAGTGAAGCTGGGTCAGAAAGTAATGTTTGGATTGATGTTATGATTATCCTGCTTCTAACAGTAGGCTTGCACATGTGTTTAGAGATCCAGCTAGTGCTGGAGTATCCTGGATTTTAGTGCTATGGAAATTTAATATTCAGACTCTGGATGTGGGTCAGGATATACTTAGGTGATCTTAGGTCTGATGCATAGGGGCAACACTTTAGATCTGTTTATTTACTTGGAGCAGAGTACATGTGATTTGAAAATGGAGAACACTGTAAATGGTTTTTATCATAATCAGTTAACTTTCTGGTGAATACGTATCTAAATTTCTCTAGAACACTGAATGATCTTTCCTCCCCTATCTGCAATCTGCTAAGTACCACATGATACAGAATAAATATGCATTTAAGAACATATACATTACAATATGGTTTTAGGACATACTAAACAACATGTTATGTCTTCATTTCAGAGATATTTTCTTACCTAAACGGAAAAACAGAATGACCAAGAGTGGGCAAAAAGCAGAGGAAGGAGGAGTGAATTCCTGCCAGCTTCTCCACTGAATTTCCTTGTGGGAATCTGGCAGGAAACATTGGAAATATCCCTTCCCTTCTCAGTAAGAGGATAAATGGCTGCCATTGGGTGTGTGGGAAGGAGTGAGGTAATACAAGGCTGGCTGAGAAATGTCATTGAAAATGAGGATCATATGACTGCAGCAGCATAGGAGCAGCCAGTAGCCATGAAGCAACCACCACTTCCCCAAATTTCATTCCATTGGGATTTGTGAGTCCCAAATTTGGACCCATCTATAAGTTAGCCCATCTGAGTTACCTTGGTTCAAAAATGTTTGCTCTACGATGCAGGTTTTGGCTAGTTAAAGGCACTGAGAACTGGAGTTTTAGTAGTATATATATTTATTTACTGGATTTATAAGCTAACCAAACTCTATTCTAATATCAAATCACAAAAGATAATTCAGAAAAGCTTAATCCAAATTCAGTAAATTTATTGATATTTTTACCAGAAATTCCTGTTTTTTATCTCTTTTAATTGTTTTGAAAAAGACTTTCCCTCTTCTAGTCAGAAAGCACAAGTTAGCATTTTGCATCTAATGACTTTAGCTGAGAAAATGATTTAGAAACAAAACATGTTTTCAGCGTGGTAAAGAAGGAAAACAAAACACAAAACCAGTCATGTAAAAGCTAAGTATAAAGAACAAGTTTAACAAATTCCTCCAAATTACCTCTATAGAACTTTACATTTGGGTGGGATTGTTGGTCTATCTTTTGGATGCCACAATAGTGTGTGTGACAAGTCCAAATGCAAATTCTCAGTCACCAACAATGGAGCCAACTAGAAAGTCTATACTTGTAGCAGGGTGCCAGATTGATCAGTATGAGTTAAAGCAGTGTCTGTAGTACAGAGTACTATAGGATGCTGCCTCTTCCAAGTTGAATTTGTCTGCCTTGGAAGCTAGTTGCATTTGCCCAAGTCCTCACCCTGTAGAGGTCTTATTAGCAGAATCCTAATCTCCTGAGGCTGATTAAATAGGCTGTGATGTCAGTCAGGATTTGCTTGACTAGGTCAGAATAATATAGTCACTGTATCATTTCATCTCTCAAAGAGGAGGAATAAGCTATCAGCCTTCTGCTCCTTAGAATGGACTTAAGGCAAAATTCTTAAGGTTCTGTATACGTTTAATATTTTATTCAGATTTGGGAAGAAATTTGGCAGCAGTATCTCGTATCCCCTGAGAAAGTTAGAATTTAATCTTTGGCATAAAACCCTGAGCAAAGTCTCAAAACTACCTTGGGTTGGTGGAACGCATACAAGTCTCCTTTGAGAGACTCTCTACTTTCTCAGATCTCACAGGCGAAGGATATTTCCATTAAAAAAGTTTATTTCTGTCCAAGAGTGCTCATGGGGTTCACTCTAATGTGTTAAAGGGGACAGGGCTAATTAGTCCCAGAACTAATAAATCAGATCCCATAAAGAAAAACGGCGCGTAACTAGGGGAAATAGTTGATTAGTCCCCCTGTGAAAATACAGAAGTTAGGGATGTTGCAAAATGAAATTTTTATCTGTCCTATAGTTTGAACCCCAGATGAGTGACCTCATTTTGGAAGGTAGTGGTTTTCAAGCATATTATCCAAACCTATCTGTAGAAACCTATTACTCTTCATCTCCATCTTCTGAACCAGTATTCAAAGGTACGGCAGCTTTCTGATGGTATTTAGACAACCTGGATGCCAAGACGGTGTCACTGCTGAAGTCTGGCAAGCTGTCACTCAGAAGATGTCCCTTTTAAGTTTCAGGCATAGAAATGAAGTCATTCCAAGATCTAGGCTCAGTATGTCTGGCTGTACTGAGAAATATCTGGGAAGCTTCCTACTTATCTCCACACTGTTCAGCACCAAGGTCTGCAGGGCAAAAAGGGGGAATTAAGATTATACATGCCCTGAATATCCTCATTTTGTGTATCAGCTTAGACAGGATTAGTGTTTATATATTAGTCTCTTTGGCCATAGTGCCAGGAGGGCATCAGTTCCTTTTGCCCTGTAATTTGAAATCAGATGAATGTTCTTGCTTTCTTGTTGGCCCCTGCTGCAAACAGGGAACTGTGGATCTAGCAAGGATTCACTTACTCATCCAAGACCAGCTCTTGGTTCCCCTGGTCCACAATTCTACTCTATGCATCTTTTACATGCTCTACTGACAGGAAGCCAGTTATGTTTTCACCCAACTATGGGACTCTTCCACCTAAAATCTCCTTTCACTCTTGTTGATGTATAGATAGTCCTTTACTTACGATCATTCATTTACCAATTTGAACTAAAGATGGCACTAAAAAAAGTTATGTAAGAGTCCTCGCACTTAGGACTGTCACATCCCTGTGGTCACATGATTATGATCCAGGCACTCTGCAACCAATTCCAGCTATCTGCTTCCAACAAGCAAAGTCAATGGGAAAGGCTGATAGAAGGTTTCAAGTTGTGATTGTGTGATATCCCACTTAATGACCATATCATTTAATGATGGATTTTCCTGTGATTGTAAGTGGTCTTAAAAGTTTTGTCATAACATTTACCGGATGGGTGAATGCTTTTAACACCAAGCAAAATGCTCTCAAGTCTGGCTGCAAATCCTGTTCCTTTTTTTGACTGTCGTGGAATGGAAAATACACGAGGATCTTTTTTTGCCTTAGAACTCAATCTATTGCCTCAATATCCAGAAATTAGCCTATGACTTTAATATCCTGACATGATCTCTCAATTTTTGGAAATTTATGACAGTACAGGTAATCCGCAACTGCAAGGGCAAGTGGAACTGGAATTTTCATTGCTAAGTGATGCAGTCATAAAGCACAATCGCATCACTTAGTGATGGCAATCTCAACAGTCCTGGGTGCCACTGCTAATCAAATCCTATAGTCATTTGTTGAGGCAACTTCTTGCCAGTTTCCCACAACCAAAGTCAGTGGGGAAGTCGGTAGGAAGTTGTAAGTCCTAGGTTGGCAGGCAGGTAAGGGGCTACTGCTGGATGCGGGAACGTACACAGGGATGCATGAGTGGCTACCATAGAGAGGCTGGAGGAAAGCGCACTGGGGAGACTTACCCTACTGAATTGCAATTTTCCCTGCTAGCTTCCCCACTGATTTTCTGGGGAAGCTGGCAAGGTTTAGGTTTATTGGCGGCGAGGAAGGTTGCAAATAGCAATCACGTGAACACAAGGGTGTTACAATCAATTGTAAGCACGAACTGATTGCCTAGAGTTCCGATTATGATCATGTAACTATGGATATTGGGATGGCCAGAATTTTGAGGAACAGCCATAATCACTATTCATTCAGTGCCATCGTAACTTTGGTCACTGAATGAAAAGTCATAGATCAGAGATAATCTATCCCTTGGCACTGCTTTAACGTATCCCTTTTAAATTTTCTTATAACAAATTTGTCTCTGTAAGTCTGCTCCCAATATGCCATAATCTTGGAAGCAAAACCATGCACTTAGAAGGTGATACCATTAATTTCAGACTCATTTTGTCTGGGATTTTCCTTTTGTAGCCAATCTATTGCTATGTTACTTCTCTTGATATCTCTGACGCCCATTTCCGACATTGAGACAACTTGCATGGCTTGTAGAGTATTTTATATTTCCCTACTTTGCATCAAGGACAGATGTTCCCCTACATCTATCAATGGGTCAATGGTTTCTCCAAACAATTTTTTTACGAAAAAGTTTTGGTTGAAAGATTGACTCTTGGATGGTGGTCTACTGGCCAATATGCATATCACAGGTTCCAATACGCCAGCATTTCAGGGGAGGTAGCTGCAAACCACCTCCCCTTGGGCTCCACTCAAGATTGCATCTGCAATCAGTCTGAATGCTTTTGCAATCTTGCTAATTGCTTCCCTGAAATTTTTGAATTATGTCCTTGTTCAAGAATTGAACAATTCTTGTTATCATAGTAAATTATCATTCCTCTGGTCGGTACAGAAGACAAGGCCTGTCACAAAAATGCCCAATGCTTTATTTATGTTTTAGCATTTCATCTGCTCTACACTTTATAGATCCATGAGAATTTCGTCTCTTTCTCTTTGTACAGTATTGAAGACAAGACAACTGTTTAGTCAATCAAGGGCAATGCCTTGTCATTTCATGAACTCCTGCAGAAGATAAATTCGGGGTCTATGTGTGCTTTGTCAGCTTCACCCATTCCCTTTTTTATAAGTTAAGTGAAAACAACTGGAAGTCTGAACTTCAAGTTGAGAACCGTTGGCCACATGTTGTGTTCCTACAGCTTTATAGTTTGTGCTGGTGCTAATAACTACTTTCAATCAAATACTTTTGCCTACTTCCTCATCAGTATTGAGAACAGATCAGCATGAAATATTTTCTGAAAGCCATTCTTAGCCTCAACTTCTCATTATGAAACATGATTGCTCCATAAAGCCTCCTCTGTTTTATGATCTGGAATGTGACTGCATCGTTCCCACTTAATGCAATGAAAACCAAGAACGAAGGTGATAGAATACTTCCTCATAACCCCCTCTCACATTCTCTGAATAAGCATCTCCATTTGATACCTGCTAGGCTTCTTCTGAGATTGTGATTGCAAGTATTCTAAGAAGATGCAGCAGGAGAGGAAGAGTAGAAATTCTAAGGCCTTTGCATCCTGAAGCCTTCAGTTCCTACCATGATCTGGTAAAGTAAAACTCATCCCTTCCACTCCCAGGGGGACATGTTCCAACAGTGCTATGTCCATCTGCTTGAGAAACCATTGCAGATCTGATTTCTCTATCCTATGCTCCTTTACTAAGGTGATGGAAGATTCTCCTGACCTATTCCCAATTCCTCTGACAAAATATCCATTTTGTTGTTTCTCAAAGTTCAGAGTAGTATTTTTTTGTCTCTCTCGCACATCTTTTCCTAAAAGTTTGTGGCTTGTCCATCTTCCTTTGATGGCAGGTGAAGAGAAGCTGCTGGGATGGTGCCCACCTTCACCTTCAGTGCCTCCTCTACTGCACTTGTTGCTAATAAACAAAACAAAATGGCTGCCCTCTTTGCTTAGCTTGTGCTTCTTGGAGGAATAACAGCAGGATAAAAGATGGCAAAGAAAGAATTGTCTTCCTTTCATGTGATGTCAGCCTAGATCATGGCTTATAGATTATGCTGCCCTAGGTAACCATGGAACCTGATTGCATCTAGACCACACAAACAAGGTCTTCCTGTGGACCCTTTTTCAATGCCATCAGCCATTCCTGGCAGTTTCATCATCACTATCATCATCTTCTCAAGCAGTATCTGGACATATTGAAAGATGCCCAAAATACTGCATCCTTCTCCCTTCCCTTCTTTCTTTGGATGCACCAGATAATATAAATAGTAGTAATAATGATGATGATGATGTATGTAATAATGTTACATAACAACAGCGATTCTCAGTCTAAAATGGAGGTAAAAGGAAAAGCTGTTTTTCTTTAGAAGGAAGAGCTAAGATAGGCAGGGCAAGCTGTTCCACCCACTAGGTGCAAAAGTGAAACCCCAGCTTTCTGGAAAGAGAAAGAGGGAAATTCAATTCCTTTCCAGCCAGCAACGTTTTTAATAACTGAGAGCTACAGTATATAAAAATCATACTCATTGTTGCTATTTGAAAAATGTTACTATCCTCATTATTTTCAGTTATATATTTAAACTACCACAAACTGAAGAAAACTGAAGTATTTCCCAGAAAAGATCTTCACAAAAACCAGGCTAGAACAAGTAGTTGTCGAAAGAAGAAAATTATGGCTTACCATTCCTAGCATCCCAAAGGGCGAAACAGTTCCAGGCTATAAAAACAAGAAAGGGACACAAAGTAATTAGACTTCAGCTCTCTAGAGTAATCTTGTTTTATCTAGCATTGAGAAGGACAAAGGAACTCAGTGCCTTAATATAAATTTACACTCAATTTAAAGTTTAAGGAAGTATATTCTAAAACTTCATCTATTCTCAAATTGATTATTATTACCCACATTTGTGTTAAAGAGCCAAAATCTATACAGTTTACTGCATGCTTGTCAGTGCTGATGAATTTATGTTGACATAAACGGAACTGAGAATATATAGAATATATTCTCAACTAATTCAATATAAATCAACTAATTCAATATAAGATGCTGTCTTAGCCATGAAACTACGAGATAAGAGACAAAACTCAATAACCTTTTATTTGGTTTCTAGAAATTAAAATAAGATGGATGTTGATAAATGTTATCTATTTTAGATAGGGGAAATTTTAACCAGAAGACTTTAAAGTTCAACAAACACACAAGTAGAAATTGCCAAGCAAATCAGTCAATTACAAAGCAAGAACTAGTTAAAAAACAAATCACTATTTGTAATGTCACATTCGTTGCAGAATCCTGAAGATTATTTAAAATCGTGTAAGAAAAATTAGAAAGGTCATAAATAAATACAAAAAAGATGACAATAAATCTCCAAAAGGCAAGACAATTTAATAACTAGAAATTTTGCCCAGATGAAGTTAAAATATACACATAAAACCTCCAATCTAGCCAAGTTGTGTTAACTTAAATACAAGGAAAGTCGTGGGCTGAATATCTTGACAGATAAAGAAGAGGCAAATAAAAGTAACATAATAGAAATCCAAGATTAAGATTACAACTATAGAAACATTAATAAATGAAATTGTGTATTTTATCTGCAGAGAAGTTGGCTTTTCCTTGTTCTTTTTCTCTTTAACTGTTCTTTTTATTCATATTTATTTTTACTGTTATATTTTATTTGTTTTTGTTTTTATCCAAAACATTTATTCTATTATTTTGATTGTTAGTGTGACTGCATTTTAATCTGACTTTCAATGTTTTAATTTTTGTCTTCCATAAGGTGTTAAATTATCATGATTATGGCAGGGTAGAAATTTGATTTAATAAAATAAATAAGCCTTGCTTCAGCTCCTTGTTAAATAAACTATTTTGAGAATGTCTATAGAAATAGGCATGATCCTATAAACCACCTGCAATCGCTGGGAGTGATGTAAAGTTTTAATAAATAAGAAAATTGTAAAATCCCTGGTCATAGATTCTCCAAAGAGTAATTGAATAAAAGACAGCAGCTTTTCTGCTTTGCAATTGGATAAAGAAGGAAGCAGAAAGTATAGATCTAATTGGGGGGAAGGGAGGGAGAGAAAGGGAGGGGGGGGAGAGAGAGATGTTCCACATTGTAAGCGCTCTGTTCTGTGATTGATATTGTTTAATTTCTCCATCAGTTATCTTTGATAACAGAAAGGAAATGAGTTTTAGATAAAACTAATCCTGAAGATAATTTCAATCTGTGAATTACTGAGATTTATCTTCCTAAATTAGAATGGGTAAGAGTAGCCTATATAAGAAGGAGTACCATATATAAGTAAACACAATGTATTACAAAGTAGACCAAGTAGATAACGATGAACCTTCCAAGCTTCATAATGGCAGCCAATGAAACAGCAACTCATTGGTTTTGTTCAAGAGGTAACCATGTGTTTTGCTAAGGCAGTGGTTCCCAAACTTGGCAACTTTAAGACTTGTGGACTTCAACTCCCAGAATTCTCCAGCCAGCAGAGAATTCTGGGAGTTAAAGAGCACAAGTCTTAAAGTTGCCAAGTTTGGGAACCACTGTGCTAAGGAATAGTTGGGCCTTTGCCCTCAAGTTAAAAAATAGCAATTTTGGGGGAAAACCTTGGTAACTCACTGATATTTTAATTAGTCATTTCCATGGGTCTTCATATTTGCACAATCCTGTTCCCAGACACTCTGAAATATTTACAAAGTTGCAGGCTCTAAATTAAAATTGAGTTGCTGGAATTTAACTAGAGCTATTTTCAACTGCTCTTTTTCTATCTTTTGGTGTAATTATGTGCTTATATTAATCATTTACATGTCTGGTGTCTCACCAAGTGACAAAGTAGAATATAAATTAAAAATTAATTGCATCACCCTGTTTTGATGTTGGGGAGTACAGCATCCGTCTTTCTCTGGTTACAGATACATAACCAAGAAAGAAGCCAGATTCTTCTCATCAAGCCAAAGCATTAAGTTAAAAATTAAGTTTGATAGAAAAATAAACAGATCTAGCCACCATCCACTGACTTTTGAATTACCTGCATTCTTCGACTAACTTGGCGTGTTCCAGGTACTGTCCCATTGCCAATGCTGAGGAAAGGGCTATATCCAAATCCACCTGAAAGCACACGATTCACATGCTGCTGATGGATGGCAAGAGGATCCCTATGGGAAAGGAAGTTTCACAAGGGAGTTAAGATGCTAAATAATTCATATCAATCACACAGTCCTGTGCCCGTCTCCTACAGCAGTGGCTCACAAGCTTTTACTTCATATGTCATCAGGCAAAAGTTCTGAAGAAAATCACCAATGACTTAAGACAAATAAAAAGAGTATTCCAAGGTAGTGTCTGTGAAACCATAATTCTTAATTTTTTAAAAATTAAAAAAAAACAACTTTTAAGACTTCCGGAATCTCAAGCTATTTCAGGAAAAGTATCAAAATCTTGTGACATTAGGCATTTCCTGAGTTTTGGAACATTTTTAAATTTTGTTTTTGTGATTCTAACAGTGATATTTGCAAAAGCCTTGTGGATATCCATTAGGAAAATTATTCTGATTCTTTTCTCCTATATAGAAAGGCTAGGATGCTTGACTCACATCATAAACATTGGATCCTCTGGTTCTCCATCTCTCATGAACCGGAACATAATTCCCTCAAATGCAGGATGGGCTGTGCAAAACGGGAAACAAATATGAATTTTGTTAACTTCTTAAATCTCTCCTTTCAAGCAGTCTTACTCTACGCATTCTTTTCCAGACTAAATCACATATTTTACAGGCAATAGCAACACATTAGATAGTTATAAATACTAGTCCCTAAACAGTATTAAACACTTCATAAATAAACTCCAATAACTGCAACACCTGGAACCCAGCTGCTACTTGCTTTCCCTGTAGAGAAACAAACTAAGAAATAAACTTCAAAAACAGTTGAAACTGTTGCCAAGAACCACTCAAGTTGGGTCCTCCAACCCAAATTATCTTCATGCTTAAGTAATCCATTAAGTCCTCTCTCCCACATTCATGCAAAGGCAAGGCCATCAAATGGGAAGGAGAAAAGCCTTGCACCTTTAATAACCATGACAATGATGTGGATTCTTTTTCTCACTGCTGCACAACAAGCCATTTCTAAAAAAATCTCTTACTCAGCTGCTAAAAAACGATAAAAGTTTTGTTCTCCTCTTAATCTGACTGCTTTAATGTAGCATTTACAGAAGTAATCATTCAATTTATGTAACAGAATCTTTTTAACCAAAGACACAATAGCAATGTATCAGGAATTCTGCAGGATGTTATAATCACAGTGACAACACACACACATCAAGCAATGCATCCAATCCACTCTCTCTTTCCAGGAGCACTGCCCAAACGCAGTCCTTAAATCCTAATCTCCCACATGTATTCAAATCATCTGGCTCTTTTCTCAGCACAGTGGATGCTCCGCGTTCCTCAACATTCCTCTCCCCAAATTAGAATGCCTCCACTCCATGCGTCCCATCACTAGCCTAAAGTTGACACTAGCTCACCTAACACCACATCTAGCAAATACGATTATTAAGACATGACATTAATATTAGAGATTACTGGTGACAATAACAAGGCAAAAGAAAACAAAAACGCCGCTGGTGGAACACAATCATCTCAGCAACCATTTATTACAAAGTACCGCATCAAGCACACTAGCTTGCCCTATATCCTTTACAGGCCGGCCTACCGCATCTCCCGACTTCCTTCTCTCTCCAAACCTTCCTTGCCAAATTCCGGTGTAAGCGCCCGCCTCCAGGAAGAATGACCTGGGAGCAGGGATGGGAAAGCCGGACCTTTGTGAGCGCATCCCCGGCTTCTTCTACACTTAAGCAACCCCCACCTCCTCCTTCAAAAGCCACACGGAATTCTCCAGCGAAACTACTCACCTCCCCGGCCAAATCCTCCCTTACTGCCGTCTCCTGTCTCTCGCTCTCGCGGAATTTGTTCCAGCCACGGGCCCTTAAAGGAGAAGATTAATGCTGCATCCCTTCCTGCCCCCTTCCCCACCCCACAGTATGTTCTTTGTTGTAACTATGCTGCGTGCGGGAGGGTGGGGGTGGAGGAGAGAGGAGATGATGGTCCCTTGGCCAGGTCTAGGCTGCCACAGCGCAGCCTCCTCTCACGGCAACAGGGAAAGCAGGTCAGGTTGTTCCACTTTGTCTCCCCTTCCTTTACAAAAATATAAATACTGTTGCAAATCCCGTTTGCAGTAAAAGGGTATTTTTCGTTTTCAAAGAAACCCACAAGGCCTAAACAGGATGTGAGGTCAGAAACACCACCCTCATTTATAAGCTCCGCCTTCCATAAATAGAGTTACTAGCCAAATTGCTGGTTGAAAAGCAACGCAGTAATAATTTTTACCATGTCGAGTGGTGGCATCTCTTCGTCGCTCTCTGTGTGTTTGAATACACGCACACCCACACATACACACACTTAGAGAGCGAGAGAGAAGTTTTGCATGATTCTTGTAAACATTGGATGGAAGACAAGCAGGAATATAACATTTAGTAAACAATTGAATGGAAAACAATTATTTTACAGCTCCAAATAAGTCTTCTAAGCACGCAAAATATCCACTTATACAATGATAGGATGGTCACACTTTCCACACATTTATGTGCAACGACGATAAGATTTTACATCAAAATCTTTTAGTAGGGCACCTATGCTAGACTATTCTGCAACGCTTTCTACAGTAATCCAAGCTGTGGAACAGAACTTAATCCAAAATTAGGATTGTTCCCCAGGACTAAACAATGCAAGTCTGGAAGAGCCCAATAACTACCCCTGAAGCTTTGCCTGATAATATCCACTCTTGGAAAGCTACTTTACTACAGGTGGACTTATAGCTTTGCCTTTTTCTATTCTTTTGCACTGAAAAATATGGAGTCCTTACTTAGTGACTGCCTTGTTTAGTGACCATTTTCAGAACAGTGATGAAAAACTACCCATCCTTGCATTTATGACCTTTGCAGAAAAGGAAAGCTAAAGTAATATAAACACAGGCATGGTTTCACTTAGCAACTGCTTCACTTAATGACCAAGTTGCTGGTCCCACTTGTGGTTGCTAAACAAGACATATCTGCATGAGAGAAGAGAGAAGCACGGGCCCAGGATGGATTTCTTCAAGGTTTACCTACTCCTCAGAAATTATGGCTCCCTTGGAATTGCCTGCCTGTTCTTTGCTGATGCTGCTTTGCTGGCTTCAGAGAAGCTCATTCACTTCCCAGGGGGAAAGGAAAAAGAGGAAGAAGCATCTCTAGAAAAAGAAGGATTCCACTGCCAGAAGTCCCAGTTTATGTGAGTTAGGCAAACATTGAATAGTAGTTCTGTGTAGTAGTTCTGGGCTTGGACTAGATTAGATGCAACTGTGGAAAGTTACTGAATGACTTTCAGCCAGGCACTCATTTTCAGACCAACCTTCCTTGATTCATTTTTTAGGGAAAAATTGGAAATATAACCGGTGACCTTGAGCTCTTGTAGGAAAGGCTTGAAATATATTTTATAAATGAAAAAAGAGATGTAGTTTGTAGGCTTCACATTCCAGCAATATGAGCAGTAGCAACACAGTTGAGGTCATTTTGTCAGGACTAACATAACCCCAGTCTTCAGCCACAGTTGTTAACACAAAGTATTACCAAGGAAGTGTGTGTGTGTATGTGTGTTAAAAGTGTTATAAATTCCTTGGATATAGTTTTAAATTCTACTGTAAAAATTTATATGCTACTGTTCACAGGAATTAAATCCTACTCAGAAAGATTAAGTCATATCAATGCTGTTAGCTATTTTGTGCTATACAATAGCAATTCTGCTAAAATTTCCAGATTGTGTGGGAATCAATGGTTGCTCTTGGAGGATAGACCTAAAAACAGAAAAGGAAAAAAAGGAGGAAGGTTGATCAAAATAAACTCAGAAGTCTATTCTCAAAAATCGTGTATATACCAATATACTAATATGCATACATATGTACACACACACACACACACCATACATAAAATATTATAGGTCATTCTATACACTCTATACATATATTGCTATGATTAATAATAGACCTAATATGTCAATAATCACTTAACTTCATTATTTAAATACCTTGGAAGATAATACTAGGTTCTTCCCTCACAAAACGACTAGACAATTTATATCACTGTTAGAACATTAAACACAACATTGGCAATGTGGCAATGCTGTGTTTTACGTTCTAACAGTGATAGAAATTGTGTGATATTCAATTCCCTTCCATTTGAAAGCTGAAAATTGGGACTAGCCTAATAGATATCTTGAGGCTGCAGACTAGGGGTTTCCCTCCCTTTAGGCTGACCATATTGCAAGACAGAATAAAAGAACATAAGATTTGTTCCAAGGAAATGGTTGCCAGCAGTCCAGCTTCAACCTCATTCTCACAAATGGGCAGAAAATGCCCTGTTCCTGATTATGGTAGGATACTTGCCAGTACTCACTGAACCTGCAAAACACTTATATGAACAGCAGAGGTCTCTGTATGCTTATGAAATGGTAGCATCACATACTGTGATCACAGAATATAAGGGAATGCCTAACATTTCAGCCAGTTAGCTGAAAGCTCTCTCCTGCTTTGGAAGGAAAGAGGTATCTGAATGTTGAGAAAACTGCCACAAAGTGGAAGACATGGATTTTTAAATAAGATGTACCTTTTAGCTAATGTAAAGTTCACATATCTAATTGTAACATCAGTTTTCTCAAATAGCCAAGTAAAAGCATTTATTATTCATTTGTTAATATATTTATAACCTTCTTTTCAGTTAATACTTGCTTCTTGGTTGCAACTCAGAACTTTGCTCTGAAATATTCTTATCTTGCCACAAATCTTGCCATTCTAGATGAGTGACGGAGTAGTCTGACTTGGTAGGGAGGACTGGAAAATGTGAAGAAGGTACTTTGTCTCTGCTACATATTTTGCGGTGACTTGCAAAGTTTTGCCTACATTTTACGTTTATCTGAAGCATAGATACATAGGGTAGCTGAATGTTTTGTCTATGATAAAATTATGTCTTCTCCCCGCTCCCCATTTTCTTAAGAAAATTACTTTTCTTTCAATCACACTAATGTATATTTTGGAAAATGGGTGTTTAATGGCTAGCTATACTGACTGCTAATCATTTTGGAAATGGGCAGGATTATGGCAGTTATTTTGTAATAGTTTCTATAACTTGCTCTCAGAATCCCAAATGTACTTATTAGAACACAAAAAGGAGATTATAGTGATAGGCCAAAAGCCTATACATAAAAATGGTGCATTGAAATAGTTGGGATAATTTATTATATTTTTCTCAGTTTTAAATAACAGTAATACCTATTACTGTTATTTACTGTTATTTAAAATAAACTGAAGTGATTCCCTATCAACTATTAAACACTAAGCTGAATTTGATTCTATAGCTGCTTTGTAAGTAAATATATTATGAAAGTGCTTCTCAAACGTTCAGTGTAGCATATCTAATCACAAAAGCTACTCAGGGCTTCAGCTAATTAAAACATGCTCAATCAATTAAGTGAATTTTAATTAATTAAATCAACATATTTGCACAAAGCCAATGATATTTCACTTCTGGAAAGCCCATTTAGGAAGCTTTCTGTCTGACTGGGTATACTGAAAGAAATTCTCTCCACCCATCATCTTTGTCATGAGTAAACCATAACAGGTTTATTAAGACAAGTCAGATGTCTGATGAAATAGGAGCAGTGGTGGTATTCAATTTTTTTCCCCTACTGGTTCTGTGGGCATGGCTTGTTGGCGTGGCTTGGTGAGGGGTATCATGTGACCAAGTGGGTATGGCCAACTTGACATCACTCACGGAAAGGTGCCACCCCTCCTTTCCGTGAGTGATGTCAAGTTGGCCATACCCACTTGGTCACATGATACCCCTCACCAAGCCACGCCAACAAGCCACGCCCACCCAAACCACGCCCGTAGAACCCACAGAAAACTTAAGTCAAGTCTTCTAGCATTCAACCTGGCTGCTTCTCGCCTCCTTCTCATGTTTGCTCTGTGTGTATGAGCCTGAGAAGGAGGAGAGAAGCCGACGAACTTTTCTGCCTCTTTAAGGCACTCCTGCAGCTGCCTGTCCCTTCATGGTCCCCCCTCCCCCCTGTGTCAAAATATCTTAAAGATTGCAGCTGGTGGCTGCCTTCCAAGCAGCTCTGCTGCGACGCCGTCCCTTCAGCGCAGCAGGCCGTTCTCCTGGCCGGGTCCAGTGACCGGCTGTGAGTGGGGTATGCAGCCGGTGTGAACAGGGCGGTGATGGTGGCGATCGTCACAGGACTTTTCACCATCCTGTTCTTCAGGCCGGTCGCACACAGCATCATAGTGGAACTACTCGGAAGGCAGCTGAAAACAACCAGCAGCTGGAGGCTTCCTGTAAAACGCAGCCAAGCCTCACCATGTCCCCTTCCCAAGGTGCCTGGAATGGAGGGTAGGTGAACAAAGTGGAGGGCGAGCGGGCAGGGAGCGGGTGGTGAGTGGGCAGTGGCTCCGGGGCAAGGCCAGAGCTGGGGAATGGTGCGTTCCCCACCCTGGTCAAGGCAGGCAGTGGCTCTGGAGCCTTGGGAAATGG